ATATATATATATATATATATATATATATATATATATATATATATATATATATATATATATATATATATATATATATATATATATATATATATATATATAGAGTTCACTGGCCCAGGCATGCCCACTGTTGTCATGCCCAGTCTCTTCACGTAACGGAAACACAGAATAGAAAATAGACCAGAAGCCTCACTTAGCCAAAATTATGTCCGAGATTTTTTATGCGCAGGCGCGAGCCAGCAAGTGTAATCACGACGCCATCAAACGCCATCACTAGGTAATAAAGATTGTTCAATGTGATTAGAAGCGAACTTTCTCTAAGCCTCATTTAAATGTAATAATTTTCTTTTTAGTAACGACCAGAAGGCTTTTTTTAAAAAAATTTAATAAATTGTAACAACGTTTCGGAGTTTACTCCATCATCAGGTTACATTTATACGCACGTATATATACGTGCGTATAAATGTAACCTGATGATGGAGTAAACTCCGAAACGTTGTTACAATTTATTAAATTTTTTTAAAAAAAGCCTTCTGGTCGTTACTTAAGGCCGGCGCACACTAGAGCTATGTGCTTAGCAAAATGTCATTCGTGACTGTTGGCGTAAGGAGATAGCTCTCGTGTGCGGGCGATTTACGAACGACTTTTGTCATTCGTGCCACTTACGCCAAATATCTAACATGTTTGATAATTTCTGCCTCGCGTGCCAAAATCTTTCCGTGTGCGGCGAACGAAAGCTATCTGCTTACGGATTGCCGTAACAGCGCATGCGTAGTATACGAAAGTAAACATCCAAGATGGCGGCGCAAAATGAATTGCTGGCCGAGGCAATTTTAGAGGACAAACTTGTCGAACTTTGGCCTGAATACAAATGTTTATACGATGTGAGTTCTGCAGATTTTAGAAATAGGGACAAAAGGGAATGTGCGGTGAAAGAAATAGCCAGTAAGTTTGTCCTCTAAAATTGCCTCGGCCAGCAATTCATTTTATGCCGCCATCTTGGATGTTTACTTTCGTATACTAAGCATGCGCTGTTACGACAATCCGTAAGCAGATAGCTTTCGTTCGCCGCACACGGAAAGATTTTGGCACGCGAGGCAGAAATTATCAAACATGTTAGATATTTGGCGTAAGTGGCACGAATGACAAAAGTCGTTCGTAAATCGCCCGCACACGAGAGCTATCTCCTTACGCCAACAGTCACGAATGACATTTTGCTAAGCACATAGCTCTAGTGTGCGCCGGCCTTAAAAAGAAAATTAATAAAGATTGCTGTTTTAACCGTTTTCACAGAATAAAGACATACAGAAGTGTATCTTCTTATTAAAAGTGCGTAAGGGATTTTTTCAGTCCGCCATGTTCTTAGCAAGTGCCCTAAAGAGAGGCAGTCACCCCCCTGAAAACATATTGAAAATTTAATATTCCAGGGGGGTGAATGCCTCTCTTTAGGGCACTTGCTAAGAACATGGCCGCCAGCTATTTCAGTGAAAGCGCCTTACGGTTTTGTAATGGAAGTTACACTTCTGTATGTCTTTATTCTGTGCCGTTTTGCTGATGAACGCTGACGTGATGTTCGCAGCAAGTGTCACACACGTCATCTAGCGTGCAAAATTCGTGATCCGCAAGGCGAAAATCGCGGACACGAAAATGTTAGGAAAAGATATACAGTGAGGCTTCTGGTCCATTTTCTTTTCTGTGATGGAAATGAACGCGGGTTTTTTAAATTTCGAAAACTGGGTAAAAAAAATGCACTAAAACATGATTTAAAACGACGTAAAATGCACCTACCAGTACATTTTTTACAATAAGAACATCCTTCAAAACTCTAGAGTAAAATATTTTTAATTTATTTGTGTAGAATTCATAATTAAATTTCCTTTTTTGAAAAAAAACGTTGAGCGAGGAGTGGAGCTTGCCGTGGTCTAATCATAAGTATTTGTGTGAATTTCCCTATTTTGCTCATTCGTTTTCCAATTTATTCGTCTGAAAGTTAGGAAAAAAGGTATTCTAACAAGATCAAACTACCAACCACAGTTTAATTATGTTTTGTAGTAGGGTATTTATTAAGTTTTAAAGGTACAAAAAAGAGATGAAAAAGTTTTTTCATCAAGTGAGAAAAATTTCCGGAGAAACTTTCCAAAATTGTTGTCGCTCCAATACAATATTGTTTAGGTCCATTTTTTTAAGTATTTTACAAAGCGTATGCTATGTATGTGCTAAGAAGCTAGTTTTGTTGGCATGTGGAAAGCAAAAGTAGCGAAGGTAAAGAGATTAAAATTGGATTTAGTGCGTATTTTTGAAAAAAATTTACCACAAAATATGGTAGTCCCCCCCCCGCCCGTCGATGACACTTGTGACGTCAGGTACATACGGGACTTTGGAGGCGGGCTTTGGCGGGAAAATCTGTAATGTTTGGAGAAGACAAGATGGCGCTGGTTACCTCGTGTTATATCAAACGGCATTTTTGTTCACAAATACCCGCTTATTTTACATTATAGCGACTGGTTCGTTTTGGAAATTATAACTCAATGGACGGGGAAAATGATTCTGTATTAAAGAGAAAATGATGTGCAGTTATTGTGATGTTATTTGTTGTGAAAGACGGCCCGAAATTTCGCTACTTCGCGGTACTGGTTTATAAAACATTTACAAGCAACAGCAAATGAAATATATGACAAAGAAACCAATGTATACAAGCCAATCAAGTTCTTCAGTTTAAAGGTCTGTTTACTTTTTAGTAATTAGTTCATTTAGTTGTACATTAATTAATTTAACCCAGACTGTAAAGTTTGGCCTGCGCGGGGAACGCGTTTTAGCTGAATTTCTGTCCGCGCATTTTCAACAAAATCCTACAAAATCTTCACATTTTTGATGAACTGATGATTTATTTTGTCTCTTATGTGCTGGGCCTTGCAAAAAGAGGTAGAGAAAACTCTGAAAATGCCATTTCAGACCATCTAGAGACCCCAAATTTTCGAAATTTTCTCAAATGTTCTGCCTTCATTTCCGCGTAACTGCCTTTTACGACGAAAAGTTCCCCGCGCAAAAATAATACTTTACAGTCTGGAATTTAACCAGACTGGAAAGTTTGTAAAATGCGCGGCGGAGATCGAAATTTGCCCGTTTTTTGCGCGGCCAGATGGCGAAATTTGCGCGGGCAACTAGGGCGTGGTCAACTAGGGCGTGGTCAATTCATCTCCAGGGCCCCGCCCGATGCGATTTCTTATTAGTACCTTTTTGTTCCAACATTATCTATTAAACAATAAATTACTACGAAGTAAATACATTAATATCAGTATTTATAAGCATGTGTAATTGAATCTATAATCCCGAAATTTCGCTACTTCGCGGTACTGGTTTATAAAACATTTACAAGCAACAGCAATTGAACTATATGACAAAGAAACCAATGTATACAAGCCAATCATGTTCTTCAGTTTAAAGGTCTGTTTACTTTTTAGTAATTAGTTCATTTAGTTGTACATTAATACCAGACTGGAAAGTTTGTAAAATGCGCGGCGGAGATCGAAATTTGAACCGACATAAAAATCACGACATAAGTATTCGTCATTGTCTTCGTCATCAACTGTTCAAGAACTTTCTTACAGTATTAAAAATCACTTACATATAAAATTTGTAATTGTTTTAAAAGTTTTTATCACAGTTTTTATATCTTTATTCACTTTTAACCTGAAGATGGAGTTATACTCCGAAACGTAGTTATTAAAATAATTTTTTACTGAGCCCATATGGTCTAATTTATATTCAAACACACGTACATATTCATTTACATTTTGCTGGCAGGCAAATTCCCATCACACAATAAATTCTTTAAAAAATAACGTACCAGTGTATTGACTAAAAACAAAAACTGGTAAACTAAAAAACAATTCAAACAATCGCGAAAAATGGCAACGGCAAAGTCACAGTTAATTTGCATTTGTGCATCCAGAACGACAGTACGACACAATATATTTGAAAAAGTGATTCTTTTCTCCACACGGGTATTTTTAGTTCACTGGGTATACCAGAAGCGTAACTCAAGCAAGTATTTGTTTTTACAAGCGATTCGTCATCAATCACGCCATCCTGGCTAGTACAACCGGCACTTTGGACCTACCAAAACCAGTGAACTCTCTATATATATATATATCTGGAATGATAACAGCGAGCGAAAAGTGAAGCTGACAAAAAAAATCATGACATAAGTATTTGTCATTGTCTTCGTCATCAACTGTTCAAGAACAATCACTTACATATAAAATTTGTAATTGTTTTGAAAGTTTTTATCACAGTTTTTATGTCTTTATTCACTTTTAACCTGAAGATGGAGTTATACTCCGAAACGTAGTTATTAAAATAATTTTTTACTAAGCCCATATGGTCTAATTTATATTCAAACACACGTACATATTCATTTACATTTTGCTGGCAGGCAAATTCCGATCACACAATAAATTCTTTAAAAAATAACTATAAAACTGGTAAACTAAAAAACAATTCAAACAATCGCAAAAAATGGCAAAGTCACAGTTGCAAGTCAATTTACCTACCTGTGAAATGAAATTTTCCTCGCAAGAATATCTCTTTCCTTGTGCATCCAGAACGACAGTACGACACAATATATTTGAAAAAGTGATTCTTTTCTCCACACGGGGAAGTTTTCCTTGACTTTTTTCCGACAGCGAACTCAATGCAGTAAATTTTAGGAGCAAAACAGTTTGCTCCTAAAATGTATTGCATTGAATTGGCCATGTTTGGTTTTGCTATTTGTACTGACTACTGTAGTCGGAATATTTAAGATAAGGTATGGATAAACAGACCCCAACCCCTTCCCTAACCAATAAATGTGTAATGAACTATTTGAGAGTTAGAAAGGTCGGGGGGGGATTTACAAATATTTTAAGAAACATTTCTACGGGGCTGTTTATATGGAAGCATGCCTTAGCAGGGCTGGCCCGCTAAACGAGATAGCCCGGTAAGCGGGATGAATTTTGCTTGCGTTTATGAGATTTTATCCTGCTTGCTGTGCTAGAAATTGTTTACATTGCACTCAATAGGCAATTCCAGCTTTTAGTTTATGCCTGCAGGGGATGATGGGAAGTAAGGTATCATAGTGCTGATTATGCTGAAAAATTTCAATAAAAACAACCGAAATATTTCAATATTTACAAATATAAGCTATCACCATGTGTTTACACGGCCACCATTTTTATTTTTTCAGCATAATCAGCAATGTGATACCTTATTTCCCATCGTCCCCTGCACGCATAAACTAAAAGCTGGAATTGCCTATTGGCTTTCCCAATTTCAAAATTAATTTTTGCTTCAAAACTCGCTATTTTGTAAACATTACAGCTATTGAAGCACAGCTTAGATAGAGACAGGAAGTTTTACCTCGCAGTTTGATCGTTGAAACGCACAAGTTACCAAGGGCAAATTCATGGGAAATTTAGGCACTTTCGGTTCAATGGGTTGTTCCAGAAAAGATCCATACCCCCCATGCTGTCCGAAGGGGGAGTGAGGAAAAATGTCTTAGGATGTCCGAGGGGGGAGGAAATGCGGATATAAGATTGTCCGAAGGTTTTAGACAGTGATAAAGCTATGTGATCGGCGATTATAATGAGCACGCAATTTTTATCGGCTATAGCCCTTAAAAACTGGAACGTTTATGTAACAGCAATAATTATACGTCCACGTAACTCGTAAGCAAAATAGCGGCCCACTTTTGCATGCATGGCCACCAAAAACTAACTCGCTGTAACAGTGTATCATATAAAATTTACACACTTTATTTATATAAAAGTAAAGTTTTGCAGTTTTTGTATGTATAAGTTTGAATTATTCAAGTGTTAAAAATAATAGTTATTAAACTGTTGCTTGAATTAAGAGACTGCTATGTGAACTAAACTCAATATTTAGAATATTTAGTTTCAGTATATAGTCAATAAAGCTTCCTTGCGATGTGTGTGCCTAGAAAATAGAAATGGCTGTCATATTAAGGGCGAGGTTAAGGAATGCAGTAATACTAAAAAATGCATTAACATGTAAGTAAAACACAGCAACGCTTCTCAATCAGTCGCAAGTTACATTGAATTTCAGTCCGAATTTTACTTGATCGAATTTCGAAGTGAATTTCTGCAAATTATCCACCAAAATCTGGCATGTGTTTGTGTTCACAAGAAGCCGCCAAGTGTTCCACCACCACGGCGGAGCTATTTGACAACAATGTAGAAAAGTCACAATAAGCCATCGCTTTCACACTATGCTGGAGCGAAATAGTTTGAAAACTTTCACGACGCCTTTGCCAAATACGCTACCAGCCTGAATTGCTGAAAGCTGTTGCAAAAAACTGTTTTATATTACTACTTTACAAAATGTAATAATTGGATGCTATACTTCAGTTCTTGTATGATAGTGCTTATAAATAATTATTAATATCGAATTAATAATCATTATAGTTCTTAATAATTATTTATAAGCACTATCATACAAGAAATGTCAAGAATGAATTTTCCTTCAATGGTGGTTTTTTATCCGTCAAAAGTTTAATATATATAGTTTTGACGAGAGAAATGTTTCTCAACAATTTTCAGAAAGTTTTACAAGATTTTGGGGCTTGTTTTGAGTTGGGCTATTCCATTTAAAAGATGTAACCCCCTATCAAGGACAATGGTTTTACCATATCTCTGAAGAATTCCTGACATAAAAGAGATCCCCTGAAGAATTCCTGTTACCCCTGAAGAATTACAATTTTTACATCTGACCCCTAAAGGAATTGCATTTGAAATAACCAACCCCTGAAGAATTCCACAGGAGAATTTGTTTACCCATGAGGAATTCCGGAGTTAAAAAGGGAGATTATGGATATTAAATGGAATAGCCAATTTTCTGGAAAATTTCCTGGTTGTTTTCCCTGCAGCTTGTTTATAAACATGCTTGTTTATCTATAGCATCATTTGTAGAAAAGGTGTTGAAAGCATTTTTTGAAAGCAATGACGTATTATCAAATATGACAAATGATCATGCGAGCGACACTTGCTAGGAAGATGGCGACTGTGGGACAACTATATAATAGTTTTGTTTGTGGAAACACCACATAAATTTATTACTGCAAAGCTTTCGATCCGTAAGCCCGGATCTTCATCAATGCTAATATGTGACTTGTTTAATTCACACGCCCTTTTTATATACAAAAAATGTCTTGATCTGTTGGCTCACATATTATTTAGCACTGATGAAGATCCGGGCTTACAGATCGAAAGCTTGGCAGTAATAAATTTACGTGGTGTTTCCACAAACAAAACTATTATATGTTTTATCGCCATGCAAACATACAAAGAACTTATTGTGGGACAACTTTTTTACTGAAGTTATACATCTGTCTTCACTTAATCTGTGGCTCAGCTGGCTAGACCTTGATTCTTGCCTGTGGTCCCCTTTGCATTTGACCCAAATGTTTCGGTCATTTTATATTTGCCAATATAAATCTTTTTGGCATAGAAATTATACATTTGGAATAATAATTTTGTATGCTGCATTCAATCTATTCTCCATTCAGGGAGATTCTTTTGTAAATACCCACACCAATCAGAAGTCTGTATTTTTATGCTAAAACAGAAATTGGCATCCCAGAGAGTAAATTATATTCTAGTTTAGGGCATGTTGCAGCTCTATATCTTGCCGTTCCAAGTTGCTTTGCGTTTGATGTTTGTTCTGGGATAAAATATTGAATTATACCTTGAATTAATGTTTTGTGAAATTTAGTTTAAATAATTTAGTAGAGAGATGAGTGCATAAAGCATAGGGATTTTGAAGCTAAATATGTTATAAAATTTGTCATTTTAGTGAATGCATTCTTTTCTGCTTGTCCTGGTTGTTGCAAGGAGACATCAAGCATTGTAATGGATGGATGACGTGTGCATTTTCTTGGTGGATATCTTGGGCAAATGTGCAATATGACGAGGGATATCTTGGGCAAATATCTTATATAAATTGGTACGATTGGTTACCTTAAATTACTAAAGAAGGATGATGTTGTAAGGTTAGTGGATATTTATAATAGTGATAAAATGGGGTTTCCCTATGAATAGGAACAAAGTAAGGCTGCCTAATTAAGTGGAAACAATATTGCGCAGTGTAACAATCTAAAAATATGGCGGACTGAAATCTGTAAAAATGATGCATGGTTAATTTAAAACATGCAAAAATTGCGGCATAAATATATCACGAAACATGCTTCTTACAACTACATGCTATGTTTATAGGAATTTGAATAAGTTTTTAGTAGGCATGATTTAGGATTTTTGTTTTATTTTCATTTATGATTTTCTATAAATGGCCCAACTAGTTTATATCTAATATGTAATGTATAATATATAGATTGTAAATTTTTTGATCTAGAAAATAATAGAGTTCTTATACAACTACATGCTGTGTTGGGTTGTTAGGGTTGAATAAGTTTTTAGTAGGCATGATTTAGGATTGTTTTTATTTATGATTTTCTATAGACTGTCCCCCCCCCCCCCTCGTGGTGGAAGGATAACAGCCTGTGGCCATTTGTCACTAATGCTGCACAGTGACGTAGTCGTATAATAGATATTTAACAGTCTGTGGCCATTTGTCACTAATGCTGCACAGTGATGTAGTCGTATAAATAGATATAATATTGTGCACTTCAGTGGCTTTCTAATTTTATTATCCAATCAGGTGTGTTACTTTAAATAGAACTTATTGTATGTAAACAAGGTCAATAGACAACGTTTGGGACAACATTGCTTTCTTTAACATATAGCATAATTTGTCTTCGTCATTCTGTGCACAATGAAGTATTGGGTCATTCCAGAAAACATACATATCCCCCCCCCCCATGGAGGAAATAGGAAGTTAACCCCCTACCCCCTTCGGATGCCCTAATACATTTACTATTATCAGAAACAATTTTTTGTCCCCTCCCCCTCCGGACGGCAGAAATTTCCTCTGTGGGGGGAGTATGGATCTATTCTGGAACGACCCATTCAAGGCAAAGAAAATATGCAAGCATTAAATATTTCCTGCATTATTTCTCAATCCTTGCTCAATGACAAAAACATACTTAAATGAAATTTGTAATATAGGAAAATTAGATTTTCTGTAATATATATTTATCTGAAACAACCTCATGCTATGTACACTTTTGTAAGTTGTCTGTTTGTTTCAAAACTTACAAAAGACAAAACAATTACTGTGGGCTCAATTTTACAAATACTGTATAAATATACAATAACATAACTTAATTTATGAGAATAAATACAACTATCAGGAACAACAAGAGAGTGGAGTAGCAAGACTACAAGCAGTGTTACATTTCAAACAGATTCTTAGTTTATATTGATAGCAGTAATGTACCATCTGTATAACATACAGTTGTAAAATTTGTAACGTCTCTCTGGAGCAGGGGGTGAGCGGAGGTGAGACACTGGGAACGAGGATGGGCTCATATTCGTTCTTAAGAGTTTTTTGTAGGGCATATAGACGGGGGGACTCATATATGGGGGGGGGTATTCAAATGTTACATATCAAAATCTAAGTTAGTCCTTTATGAATGCAATAAAACATTCAAGTATACTAGCTTTTGTAGTTTTTGTGGCTAGCCCGTTTGCGGGCTAGCCACTATCACATACACATACACAAACGCGATGAGCGATGATGATGATGGTGTCCAGTCCGGATTTTCGTAAAGTATCGGGAGTAATCGGAAGCGCCCGTATTTTTCTGCCGACATTTCACATTTGCATTTCGAGGCAATACTAGTGATGTTGTTACGACGCAGTACTAGTGAGGTTGTTAAACCAGAAAATTAAAATAAAGTTTATCTTCATGGCTTCAACCTATGGTGTCGAAACCGATCAGAAATTGCGCGTACTTGCCGTGTAAATATGGGTTTTGATTTGCACTTTTGACTGATTTGCGGGCCATTTGCCATCTTGAATTGTCTTCTTGTTGAGATTTCATATCTCAATTGCATTCAAAATGTTTGGTATTTTAAAGAAGGGGTATTGTGTGGAGGAGGTTTATAATGCAGCGAATAAAACCAGCATTGGATAATTATGGTAAAAGACCAGAAACTGTGCATCGAACTCGTTTATTTAAAGGCTTTAAGTATACCTTTTCTTCAGACATTGACGGCGTCTCAAATGTCTACATATTTGTAATAAACCTATAAAGGATTATTGCGTCTGTCTGTCTTAGGAGTTATATAGTCGAATAATTCAGCATGATTTGTCTCACGTTCTCTTATAAGTTGACTAATGTTGCATTAAAAGTGGTAAAAGTTGGTGTGCTAACCAAGATTTCAGTGTATTTGTTTGCTAATATTGCTAGGCCTATATCTCAAACGCTATTTGCCTATTAAAATATCATATGACACGCAATTTTAATTCCACGGCAAAACTGCTGTTGCGCAAATAACAAACGCGAGATTAAATATATATGGCAGTATTACAGTTTAGTAATATTGCATTAAAAGTGGTAAAAGTTGGTGTGCTAACCAAGATTTCAGTGTATTTGTTTGCTAATGTTGCTATATCTCAAACGCTATTTGCCTATTAAAAATATCATATGACACGCAATTTTAATTCCACGGCAAAACTGCTGCTGCGCAAATAACAAACGCGAGATTAAATATATGGCAGTATTACAGTTTAGGTATCTTTTAAATTGCTAATAGATCACACGGAAACTTTTTACAATCGTTATATTCAAAAGCCTAGCGTGCAAATTCACATATTTGTGTTTATTCAAGTGTTATTCAAGTATACCGTGAAACTCCACTGACAAAATGAGCCCGCACAAGTGGGAGAAAATTTGCGCATTCTGACCATCGTGGTGTGTCAGTTAACCAGCATGGCAGGCTTTCTGGGTTTGGAGGAGGGTTTGGGGAGTTAAAGTTTACCAGGCTAGCCACATGTACGCATTGCGTACCTATTTTTAATAATTTAGTAAAACTGCACTATTATTCCATTAACAAGTGCTCTTTATTATTATGATGGATCGGGATGAACAGTTTACAACTGATGTAGAATGTTTTGACGAGCGTGGTTTAAAGGCGCAACTACTTAAGAACAAACTTCGGCTTTGAAGGATGGACTAGTAAAGAAAACAAAAATTTAGATGAAATGTGACAACAGTAAACTATCAAAGGCCGCAAAATTCCTCCGAGTAGTTTTTAATAATTTAGTAAAACTGCACTATTATTCCATTAACAAGTGCTCTTTATTATTATGATGGATCGGGATGAACAGTTTACAACTGATGTAGAATGTTTTGACGAGCGTGGTTTAAAGGCGCAACTACTTAAGAACAAACTTCGGCTTTGAAGGATGGACTAGTAAAGAAAACAAAAATTTAGATGAAATGTGACAACAGTAAACTATCAAAGGCCGCAAAATTCCTCCGAGTAGTTTTTAATAATTTAGTAAAACTGCACTATTATTCCATTAACAAGTGCTCTTTATTATTATGATGGATCGGGATGAACAGTTTACAACTGATGTAGAATGTTTTGACGAGCGTGGTTTAAAGGCGCAACTACTTAAGAACAAACTTCGGCTTTGAAGGATGGACTAGTAAAGAAAACAAAAATTTAGATGAAATGTGACAACAGTAAACTATCAAAGGCCGCAAAATTCCTCCGAGTAGTTTTTAATAATTTAGTAAAACTGCACTATTATTCCATTAACAAGTGCTCTTTATTATTATGATGGATCGGGATGAACAGTTTACAACTGATGTAGAATGTTTTGACGAGCGTGGTTTAAAGGCGCAACTACTTAAGAACAAACTTCGACCGCCTCTTTGTTGCCTCCTAATTGGCATAAATTAAGTTAGATTGCCGCAAGTTCCTTTATAACTGCACTGGAGAAATAATGAAAGGTCATAACTGCAACAGTTTAGAACTGATATAGAGCTTGCAAATATTTATACAAAATTAGAATGACGTAGGTTTTCTCGGGTAGGAATACTTTATTGGTACACCAACGACGGATCAGGAGGAACAGTTTAAAACTGATGTAGAATAATGTTATGACGAGCGTGGTTTAAAGGTGCAACTATTGAGAACAAACTTGGACCGCCTATTTGTCAAAATATGTTCTTTATTGGCATAAATTAAGTTAGTTTGGCTCAAGTTTCTTTATAACTGCAATGGGGCAATAATGAATGGTCCTACCTGTAACAGTTTAGAACTGATAGAGCTTGCAAGTATTTATACAAAATTAAAATGATGTAGGTTTCCTCGGGTAAGAATACTGAACCAACATGAAATGGCTATAATTGTAACATCGTCTAGGGAGAACAGTACTAACAGTTTAGAACTGACAGAGCTATCAAGTTTATTATTATTATTATTATTATTTAAACATATTTATCCACGGTAGCCTTTCAGTTGCCTGTTTTTCAAAGGGCCGTGGTCTAAAACTATTAAAAAGATATAAAACTAAATCTAAACCTAAAGTATAACACACTAACATT